GCCGGCGCGCGCGCTTCTCCCTCCCCGGCCTCGCGGGCAGCAGAAGGGGCTCGCGGCAGCAGCGCGGCAGACACAGAGCAGCCCGCGCGCTGCTGGGCGCCAGCCGGTGCCATTGCAGCGGGCGGGGTTCGCGCCTGCGGGACTAGGAGCAGCATCTCTGGGAGGAGTTTTCTGGTCTCGGGGGTCGGACTCAGAAAGCTTTAGGAGTCTCAGAGCTCTGCGGACGCCCCGAGTCGGGGAATGCATCAGAGGATCCCCTTTGGGTCTGGGAGGCAAGAATTACATGGATCACATAGATCATGTGGACAGATCTAGGCTGCTCTCTGGTCCAAAGCGCGGCCGGGAGTGGTGGGGCGAGGAAGGCGTTTGGACCCGGAGCAGGAATGGGAGGCTCAGAGGCGTCTGGGGGTCCTTCAGGAGAAGTTCTGAAAGCCCATCCCGGTCCAGGGTGGGTAGGAGGTTGCCGGGTCCACAGAGGGGACCCTCAGCGGTCGCCTAGTCTAGGGTACAGAGTTGGTGAGTCGGGATGGAGAGCGTCCTTGGGTCTCCTGGCTACTCACCCTCTTGGCCCTTTTGCCCCCAACATGTGCCATCTTCGTGGTGTCCAGGCAGATAGTGGTCACGGACGCCACCGACGAAGCGAGCCTACCCTCTGCGAAGCCCGGAGCTACCCAGCGCTCGCTGCAGACCTCTTTATATGCACAGTTCAGCGCGGGGAGGGTCTCCCCAGCCTCGGCCGGGTCCAACGCGGGCCGCGGGCGGGGACACGCCCCCCAGCCTCTGTTCCTGCCAGCCGCTGGTTCCCTGCCCTGCGGAGATGATCGAGATTGTTCTTCCAATTGGGTGGAAACACCGAGAAGTAAAATAAGAAGAAAAAAATAAGGTTCCACTCACTCAGGTTTCAAACCTACCTGCACTGCTGTCTCTTTTGCCCCTGGCCTGTCCCTGACCCTGACATTTCGCCAGAGAGACCCCTAAGAATTCCGTTCCCTGCTCAAATATTTGTCAAGGTCAAGTTTCAAGACTGCGGGATGAAGAGGCAATGTCCTGGAAGAAACTTTAGCCTGAAGTGTGATCTCCCGTGTGATACCCATTCAGCATAACGGGATATAAAGAAGGCTGTTTTTCTTTTTCTCTATCTTTTTTGCAGAACCCGAACACCTGGGAAAATAAGGCATTTCTGAAGGCGCCTATACCAATCCTGAATAGTGGGCGTGTTCAAAAAGACCTATGCTTGTATCCAAACATGATTTGCCATTTCTAATAATACAGCGACTTCTAATAGGAATATCTGTAAAATTTAAGCAAGACATAGACTTTTGACATTTAAATGTAGAAACACACTTTTAACACTTCAAAATTCAGCATGAAAGCTGTGTACAAACAGGCTTTAGAAGAACCAGAAGGAAATGGAGACGTTAAGGGTAGTTAAATATCGATGGTAAATTAGGGCTTGTTTTTATTTTATTCTTTATTTTTACTGTATTTTACAAAATGGTTGTACAATGAGAACATATTGATTTTGAAATAATAAAAATGTTTCTTTTAAAAATATACATCATAATATTAAACAGAACATGGGACAACTAAATAGTCTGAAACAGAGTTCAGAA